GGATTTAAGTATTCTGCAGATTTGAATCGCAGTTAAGTATAGATCCCTGTACTGGCAGAAATCCTTGAATTTTTAAACACAATTTAAAGGACAGCATTGTGTCTCACTCAGATTTTATCTTGGCATTCTCAGATATGTGAGAGGTCAAGAAGGAGTGAGATGAGCTGGGAGAGGAGCAGGGTATTGAGTTAGAAGAGGTTTTAGAGCATTGGGCCAGGTTTTTTGCCAAGGACTGTTTAGCCAGAAGGAGCAGACGCAGTAACAGTGCAAGTGGTATGAAGGAAGGAATAAATCTGGAGATGGGGAAGAAGAGATTCAGTGAAAGGGGAGGTCACTAGGGAATAGTAAAAGGTAGCAGCAACGCACTGCCTACTTGTTTCTGCTCCAAAATTAGGCAGTGTTGCTGTTTTAGCACGGACGTGACTGCACACGAAAAAACAGGCCTGAGACATAATGGCTCATTTAAGGGCATTACTAAACTGTCCAGTGTCCAGGGTTTGGTGTAAGGTGAAAGAGGAGTGAGCAGCAGGGTGAACTTTTTGGTGGAGCTCATGCTCATCATGGTGCTAGTAGAAATCTGCTATTAGTATCTGCAGTGACATTCCCTGGGCCAAGGCCCAGGTCAGCACATACCCACTTTCAGAATCAGGGATCAGTAATTGGTTCCTTCTTCCTCTTCTGTGCCAAGGACAAATTCTGGGAGTAGGCTCATTTAGTCAAGCTCCCTGGTGTTGAATCCACAGATTATGCTGCTATGATGCAGCCTTCCTTGTTGGGCTTGACTAACTTCTTCACCACAGGAGTAACCCATACTGTTTTTTTTCCACTAGGTGCATATTTAAAGATAGCTGCTGTTGCTTTTGCTGCTCCAAGTGCTTATATCTTGCCATCTGACCTGCATAAATTCCACTGTTCCTGTCAAACACTGGAGCTCTTAAAAATACTAAATAACGTGCATCTAACATATATGTATATGTAAGTTGTTGAGCTTAGCTTAGCTTGGACATGTATGATCCAAACAAGACATGAGTAAAATATCAGTCTCTGTCCTCAAGAAAGCATGTAGGGCTTACATTGAGGCTATAAATAGACATTGCCAAATGCAGTGGATCAGCTGTGCCTGGATATGCCTTGGCACAGCTGTTATGTTACACTGGGCTGCATAGACATTGCCTGTTGTCCCACTGGGTCAGGCCTCTGCTGCTCGAGCGGCTTCAGGGGCCTAATCCTGAGGGACAGCTGCAAACGGGAGCCCTGGGTTCCCTACTCTCAGACTTGCACCCAGAGATTCCCTTGGCAGGGGGTTCTGTGAGTGTCATATCATGCTGCTGTGCCCTGACTCGGGGCTCACCTTTGGGTTTCCCAATTTGCAGAGGTTCACCCCCAGTTGCAGAATGATACTTGTGCCCTGTCAGGAGTTTCTTGGGATTCACCTCTGCAAACTGGGGAACCCAGACAGGCCCTCCTAGGGCTTCAGGGGCCTGATCCTGCCTGCCCCCGGAATGGGACCCAAATTTCTAGGGATCGGGCCCTTGAAGCTCTAGGGCTGCCTGCCTGGGGTGGCTGGAGAGTGAGGGCAGCTCTGGGCTGTCCATGCTGTCCCACCATAAAGCAAAAAGACATCCACTGCAAAACAGCGGAACAAATTTATACCCTGTTGCACTCGCAGAATTTGGGCATTTGTAGTATGACTAAAGACATGTATGTTTGTTTGCTTGGTCTCTGTGTCTCTATGCTGATTTTTATGGCGGCACAAAGGCAATATCTGTTTCCAGCCTTAGTTGCTTGAGGTCTGGAAGGGTGGTGGAGGAGGGGCTAAATCCATTGGTGGAGGAGGGGAATGATCCATTGTTCTTTTTGGCAAGGGTCAGCGTGTGTGTGTGTGTTTGTCTGCGCGTGCGTGCACGTGCATGTGCATGTGGACCTCGTTCAGGTCTTTAGGCACTACTGCAGTAAAAATGATGAAAATGGCTTTGTCCCAATTGTATGCTGGTTAGCAGAATTCACTTTCCGCATTGGACCTCTCTGCTGCACCTCTTTTTGATGGTAGTAAACTGTACCTTCAAGAAATTGCACACAGCTAGCAATCCAAAGAAAGCACTGCACTAGCTGTTTTGACGGCACTATACAGATAGTCTTAGTTCATAATCCTCATGCCAATGACTTGTAATGTTGTTGCATTTCCCAGTGGTATCCTGTGGAATCCAGTAATAGGGTCTTCCCTAAAGAAAACAGTTCCCATTTAAAATAAGCTATCAAATATTGTTCTAGGCTTCCTTCTAATCAATCAGGGGTCTGGTTGCCATCTTGGAGTCCATCTTGGAGTTATGTCTGAGAATGAATATTCTGGGGCTGCTGTTTTTAGTATTGTTTTTTAATTTTTCTTTTTATCTACACTGACGCACTAAGCAAACACAATTGATTTTGTTATGGGAACATGGAAAGTTAACTAAGAGAATTGGTATCCAGTTGCTGTTGCACAGATTATTCTGCAACAACTCCCCCCCCAAGCCTATTGTAATATTTGTTATGTAACATCCAAATTAAGTTACAGACTGCTGGAATTTCCAGGAATCCATTTATAATTTAATGCAATGCAAAAATAAAACCCACAGATTTTTCTCATGGTTCAGTTGAATTGTGCAGCCCAGCCCTGCCCCCACCTCACCCCACCCCATAGTATATTCTTGAACTGCTAAGAAGCATGCATTGTGCATCTAAAACATGCACTTCTCAGTGAAAGCTATTTATACACTTGGAACCATATTTTTTCTCCCAGTTAACTAAAATTACTTACAATCCCAAGTAAATCTAACAGTTATTCACAATATAGGCCTGAATCCTGCAAAGACTTAGGCAAATGCTTGACTTTAAATGTCGGAGAGTTCCCATTTGACTTCAGTAGGACTATGTACATACATACGTACTGGGTACAGACACGAACTATGACATTTGTAGTCAAGGATTCTCGTATTAAGCAGTCTCTTGGACCAGCCTTATATAGACATGAATACATTAGATAAAATTATGCTTCATTTTCATTTAAAGTATATCCGATAGGCAGTCATTTTATGTTGGGCCATTAAGTAGAGTCATAAGGCGGCAGTAACTCTTAGGGCTTGACCTAAAACTAATGTCCCCAAAATTGGGGATTGAAGTTAGTCAGTCAGCTATGCTGCATCTTTTCAGGTGGATGTTTAGATTTTATGCCAGTGAGTGGCGTTAAAATTCCTTGTCCTACACTAAATTTTATATAGATCTCACTTAAAACAAACAAGCCCACCATGGAAGATATTGCACATTTTTGCGTATCGGTTTACTGTTAAGATTATTCTGGGGTGATTATCCTCAGTTGTTCTTACTGTGTCAAGAAAAGAAATCACTGAACATAGACAATATGTTCATGATCGCTTTCTAAAGGCTTCTACTCAGCTATGTTTGAAGAATGATCCCCCCTAATGTAGAATTATTGTTTTAGATAGTTTTTCCCAGGGGCCATGTTAACCATATTGCTCCATTCTTCCATCACTGATGCCGTCTGTGTTTGTCAATCTGATGCATTTGGCTGTGAGTGTACACAAGTGGCTTGCACATTTGCTTAAGATCAGGCTGTTGGGAAAGAAAATAGGCTGCATGGCTATTATGTAGCTGAATATCTCTGAGGAGAAATGGGTTGTAACAATGACAAATGACATCTATTCATCATCTCTCCAGGCAACCAAAAAAAAAAGATTAGAAAATTGACTTAAAAGCAGTCAAGAGGAATATGCTTTTGTGAGATTGACTACAGAAACTGCACTTTTAAAACTAAGAATTCTAGCATGTACAAGTTGTCTCTGATTTACCAACTTTTATTGTAATTGGTCTTGTCGTCCTTAATCTAAAGTGTTCTAAGCACTGCAGAGAACAGTCTAATGGAGGCATCTAATAGTCTTTGTGGGCACCTACGCGCAAGCACGGACACTTCTCGGAGGTGCTGGAATTCCAGCACATCGGAGCACACGTGATTAATTGAGTCTGTTGGAGCATGGCAATTGCCGTGCTCCAGCAGCCTCCTGCATCTTGTGTATCAGCATCCCCATACTCAAAAATGGTGGTGGGGATGTTTAAACTAAAGCTTGTTGAATGAGCTATAGTTCAAGTGCCCCTACTGCAATTTTTTTAAGCGTGGGGATGCTGATACAGGAGACAGAGACACTTTAATTAACGCAGCTCTCATAGCTCTCCCCCATCCCCGGAACGTGTTTAAAAAAAAAAAAGTGCCCTGTGTGATTTATTTATTTTAATTCAAGATCACTAACAATAATTTATTACAGTGTCAAATATGCCTTGGGACCAAAATTATGTTCAGAGTATTTTATTTGGTGGCAGCCTCCCCTTTAGCATTTGCTTTCATGTGTTTTTGTGAGGCATTTACTTTGTATCTTGTATTTTTCTGAATAAAGTAGTGTCAGTGAGAATCTGCTTTGAGTGTTCAGAACAGACTTCTATTCGTATAGTAAGTTATTGTGCTGACTGATTAGATACCAGCTGCTATGGAGAGTGGGTGGGTGTTGGGAATCTCAGTTGGGGCAGAGCGCTTCCCAGTCCTGGCGCTGATCGGTTCCCATCTCCTGGAGAGACCCGGGATGTTGGGCAGTGCCAGGACCAGGGGCAGAATGCTCCCTGTCCTCTGTGGTCCCCTGCTGGCTAGGCTGACCTGGAGCAAATTTGCTCCTGGTCAGCGTCTACACAAGTGTTATTGTGCAGTTTCTACTATGCAGTTAGTTTACTACCTGTATTTACAGGTAGTAGCTAACTGTGTGGTAGACTAATTTAGTAGTTAGAAATGAAGAATAACTTTTTGGGGAAGCCGCTGTTATATTAGGTTCTCTTTTCTTTTCTCTTCTCTTCACCAGTTCCTTTGCTGCTACCTTTGCTGTTGTTATTGAAAATCCAATACTTTGTAACTCATGCTTGAATGACCTAAGTGTTTTTTTGTTTTTTAAATATTTTTTCAGCTCAAGCTCAGACATTTTGAGAGATCCACAAGAGGTTGGGATGTGTTCAGAGTCATCAGATAAGTAAGTATTACATAGATTAATGGAGCAATAAACTGAGCCTAATACAGGCCATTTAATTGTTTGTCAGTTGAAAAAAGAGGAGGGGTGAGGGCAGAGAGGGGAAAGGGTTGGTTTAAACAAAACAATTGGCAAGAAACATGCAGTTTTTGAAGTTTCATCAATTCCCAGCAGAGCTTACCAGAGTCCTTATTCAAGCATTCACTTTGGATTCCTCTTATTGGGAAGGAGAAATACAGTTTTTAAAAGCAGAGAGGTTTTGTGTTTTGGTGCATATCGCATATTTAAACAGAGATTAGGCCTAAATCTGCAATGTGCTGTACAAAGACAAAGGAAGAGACTGCCCTGCTCCCACAATTTCCCAGGTAAGCACACAAAGGATGTGAAGGGAAACAGAAGTGCAGAGAGATGAATGAACTCACCTAGGGTTATGCTAGGGTGGCAGAGGTCTATCACTGGATACCCATTAGGAGAAGAAATAAAATCCAAAATGTTGGTGGATTCTTAATTAAAAAATAGATTGCAGATTGTTTTGTCAGAGTTTTCTTTTTTTTCATGTTACAAGACTTCTCTTTAATGTTACTGAAAAATCCATTGTGCTCTAAGGGTTGAAGCTTCTTTGGCATGTAATATTTCTGTACTCGTGCTGTATTCCATGTTCAGTATCATGTTAGCTATAATGCTTGGACATACAAGGTTAATAAGTGGAGTCACATTGGATATAATTCACTTACTCTACTTTTTAAAGTAGGCCCCACAGCTAATTGGGAGAACCATCTTTTATCTGTATATGGTTAATAGACTGTGACAGGTCTTCATAAACGTCACTTCATAATTGAAACAGAATTTGGGACTCTTCAGATGTTTCTTTTGTGTATTTAAGATAGAGTATGATGAATATATTGAATAATAAAAGTTCCTAATGAAAGCACTGACAAGACCTTAATTATAATTATGCCAGAAGTCACTGTTAATGTGAATCAATGGGAAAAATATTAAATAGTCATTAAAAGTTTATTGTAAAAACTACCTGAGGTTGAAAGAGAGGTGAGCAATATTTACAAGACAAATGTTTGTAAGCATGGTTTCTGGCAGCACCTGGAAGTGATTTACAGACACTAGCATTCACTGCACAAAATATTATGTTGTACATATTTTCCAATGCTGTAGACTGTGCTGTAACACTTTCCTCCTGACGATTTTTCTGTGCTGCTGTTTCCATTGTTTAAAACATTACCCAGAGTATAAGGAGCCATAGCTATCTTTCCAGTGGACATTGTTAGGACTTTTGGGTATTTAGGATATACCTGGGCATAAAATGATTGACTGTTTCTTCATGAAGCATCTCCCAGTAAGCCTCTTCTGCTTCTCAGTATCATCTGCATGCAGCTCTTGTAAAATTAAATAGTCAAAGGATGCATACTTGGAACAAGTTGTGACCCTTGAGAAACAACTTGAGCACGCAGGACTTAATGGTCCTGTTTGCTTGTACCTGTATATTTTTTAAAAAGTAATCTGAATTTAAACACAGGGGATAATGTTGCTGGAGATGTTTATTTGTGTATCAGTTTTTCATGATTGAACTGAAGGTGGTAAGTAGGTTGTGATTTTTTTTCTGGTCATATTGAAGAATGAGATTTGATATCTACTACTCAAATGCTATTGTTTGGTTATAATTGCGTTATAACCAAGTACAGGGGTGTATTTGGCTACCAAGTACACCCCTGAAACATTGTTTGGTTACGCTTTCATGGAAAAAGAACCCACCGTCGATGTGTTTGACAACATAATACAAGTCAAATAAAATTCATAAAAGCAAACCAAATCAGCCCATCTGGGTGCGTACTTTCGTTTCTTATGTTTTGGATTTCCCACTTTATCGACCATAATCTGGGATCTAGTAATGAGTTTAGAAGTATTCTGTTTAAAATTGTTACCAAACTTTACAGAATGCATCTCTTTCATCTTGCCTAAACAAGTTCTTCCCATAAGAGCAAAGAAACAAGATTGGGTAGCAGCTTTAGATGTGAAGGGCCTGAATGCTGCTCCTGTTGAGATAAATAGTAAAACTTCTGTTGGTGTGATTGGGTATGTTTTCTTCCAAGTGTTTGGAGCCAGCTGCTACTCCAGGGCTGGCAGCATGGTTATGGCACATGGAGAAGGAGACAGGGGAAGATGATGTTGATTCTGGAAACTGTGGTCGTTGTGTATATTGGAGTCTGGTACTTGCGGGTTCTGTGCATCTCAGCGTGTGGGAGGATTCAGCAGCATGCCAGGGAAAAAGAGGCACAGAGTCAGCGGATCTGCAGAATTAAAGTTCATTTTCCTCCTCGCACAATTCCACAGAAAGCAGCTAGTGTCCGGGAGCGTCTACTGTGTCAACAGCTGCAGAGAAGTTGTGTAGATGAAAGGAAAGAATCCTCTTCCTTAGGCAAATCCCAGAGCGCAGCTCATTTATTTGGGCTGCGAGCTGCAGACAGGAGTTGGGCCTGTACCATAGAGATGTTGCCGTATACATTCCTAAGTAGGTTATGTTTCAACATTTTGGAGCATTTTTGTCTTCCACAGTGATTCTTTGGAGACATATCCCACGAATAGAACAAACTGGAATGACTCCTCTCATCTATGTTTTGTATTTTTGTCAGAGCTGGACCGATTTTTTTTTTTTTTTTTCCCCCCCCTAATTGGTGGTTAGTAGAACCATAGTTAAAATGGTGTCTTTTTTCTTTCTTTAATCTAAGAATTAATTGTATCCCTGGCTTTTGAGGAAAATACCAATTATTTGATTATTCTGTGCTTTCTATTTCAATGTACATTTCTGAAATATTTTTATTTTTCCATAACTTGCTGACATCACCCTGTCTTGACACGTTTCAGCCTGGTTCCACGTTAAAACTCTGTCGTTAATGTATTTTGACAGTGGGGAATATTTCTGTCTTAGTGGAAACAATGCTTTGATTACCTTCCTCTCATGTTATTCTTCATCATTTAATAGTATCCAGTCTATCATTTCCATTGATTTTGAGAAATTCAAACAAAGGTTAAATGACATGGCTAACAATCACCCATTGGTAGAAAAAGTATTTTTCCCCTATGTCATTGTCCTGTCTGGGGTGTAGATGGAAGACCACAATTTCTAAGCCATCAGACACTGACTTTCAGTTAATTTGTCAAGTAATGATACAGTGTATATCTTTTGCTCCCTTTTGCTTCCATCAACTTGTGGTCTAGTGATCCCCATAAACTAATTTTATATGGGCAGAAGCAGCACACCACTTGAGATCTAGACCATAATAGAGTAGAATCTAAGGTTTCTTACACAGATTGCAAGCCATGTCCTTGAAGGAAAGGAGGTATAGAAATCTCAGAATTTAAACTTGGGAAGCTTTTATTCTTTGGTGCAGGTTATTTCTGCCCGCCAGCTTTGGAAGTCAATGTTAACAAGTTGGTGTATCCATAGAAATGTAATGTGTTGCCCTTGGTGCCTGTTTTGTATCAAAAAAAGTCTTCGGAAACATTTAAGTCATGTTGTAATGACTTTTGGACGAGTTGATGTGTGCACAAGAGTTTAGGTAAAACAGATCTACAACTTTCATTCTGCTTGCTATTCTTCCTGTTAATTATAGAGGTTATGCTGCAGTAACTGTTTACTGACTTTTGTACAACAGCTACATTGTTAAACAATAACCTTACTCTAGACAGCACAAGTTGAAGGCACAAGTAGATAGATATACTATGGAACAGACAAAATGGCGTGTTCATTTTATAATGGTCCAGTATTGAATTTATTTAAAATGAGCCATATAGGGACCATCATTCACATTCTTTTCTATAAGATTTTAAATCTAGGTATTTCCAAGAGGAAAGAAGCAATTTAAATGCTAGAGGGGCAAGCTCTACTGGTTTTGGCTGTTCATTTAATTCATTTCAGTGAAGTGCATTATGAATAGTCATCTTTAGAAGAGAAGGAGTTAAATTAGAAGTCGCAGAAGTTAAACACTAAAGCTATCATCTGCATAGAATAGGATCTCAGCTCTATTCCATGTAATCTGTTCTTACAAGCATAGCCAGACACTGCTAAATCAAATAAAAGTATATGGAAATGACAGCTGCACTTTGTAACAGCACAGTTGCCACAGCAGTTAGCTTTGTTCAATGTTTATCTTAGCCATATGCTGTATGGGCATTCAGCCGTCTGAAAACCAAAAACTAGAATTAGTGAAATACATCGGCATCTTGCATCTGGACTATGCTATGTTTTTGCTAATAAATAGCTATTTAGAGAAAAAAATTGTATTTCTTATAGTGTACAAAAATAATAGTTATCAACACTTTGAGCATGTATCTGTATACATATACACATATGCATAAAGTATATCCAGGGATGTATTTAGTAGCCGTGTTGGTCTGAGACAAAAAGAAATACAAAAATCTAGAACTCTTGGTTCAGAAATGATACTTTTTATTAGACCAGCTGAGAAATTGAAAAAAAAATCTTTTTCTGCAAGCTTTTGGGCGCGCACACCCTTCATCAGGCTCAGGGAAAGTTCAAGATGGTAAAAAGTCCCCCCCGTATGTAGAAATAAACTTCAGCCCTCCCTGCCATCTGATACCACCAGGGAAGAAATCCTGTTTGTTCTACACAACAAAGAGCAACCTCACAAAAACACCCTCATGGACCCAGAGGGACAGATTTCCAGCTTCTGCTGCTGTGCAAAAATGAAGTGTATTTCCTAAATATGGGGACTTTTTACCATCTTGAGCTTTCCCTGAGCCTGATGAAGGGCATGTGATTCCAAAACCTTGCAGAAAAAGTTATTTTTTTTTTTCAATTTCTCAGTTGGTCTAATAAAAGGTATCATTTCAGACCCAAGAATTCTAGATTTTTGCATTCCTAAAGTATATACAGTATTTTCTCAAGCATTTTTTTTAAAACATCTTAAAATGCATCAAGATAATGAATGTTAGAGTGAGTTAGGCTGAGCCCAAAGAGTAGTACCATA